ACAACAACCTTTTTCTGGCGTGTCAAGTGCTTTTGACTCAAAGTGAATGTGCAACAAATGTTAAATACCGGGGCAAGTTGATTGCTGTAAAAACACAAGGTAGTTTCAGTTGTTTTTTGCGCCACAGGAATTAATTAACACAGGAACGCCACTGTTTTTGGGTCAGATGAGAGAATATAGTGACGATTTCACAGACCTAAGGGAAAAAGTCGTGCTAGGTGACACGCAGCGAGGCGTGCTGCCGCTCTGACTTCCCAGCCACGATGTCTTTGTGTCATCTTTGTCCGCCGCCGCATCTCTTCGTGTCTCAGATTACACATTACTCTGCGTACTCTAACCCATCGTCACGACGCCTCTTGTAAAACTGAAAGTGTCAACTGTGCACAAAGTACAAACACACACACACACACACGAAGAAAAAAACAAGTGATGTAAATGTATCTGTACCCATCAAAGTTTAACAGCAATCTAAAGCAGACATTTGTACAAAAGATCACTGAAGACGAGGTTTTCAGGTCGCGCTGTCGATTGATTTGATATGAAATACGACTACTGTAAAACACTATTTGCAAGTCTGTGTGTAAATGTTTTTACATGCTGACGATATGATAAAAATTATACAGTTTTTTAATTATCATTGTGTTCATGAATAACGTGTTAATTTTAGTGGACTGCTTTTCTTTCTGTGGGATAGGTTCTGTTTTCCTGTAAATACTGTGTAAAGGGACGGGTACTGTAAAGAGAGTAAGACTATGTGAATAATTCTCACTACCACAGCTTCTTTAGGATCCGAGCGTTGTAAGTTGAATACGAGAGAGAAGCAACATTTCTATTGTTTTTACTATTTCTTTATTTTTCTATTCTTGCCTTAACCCTTTTAGTATCTGTCATAGTTTCGTTTCCTTTCACTGTTTTAGGATTTGACTAGTTTGTGCGTGTATATACAGACCTCTGATCAGTGTCCCTTCACTCAAAGCCAACGGAAGCAGATTTTGGAAAAGTCAGAAAAGCGTCTGTCGTGTGGGCGTCTCAGCCAGCAGACGAGGAGCTTGGACAAGCTATTCACTGCATCGCCGAGCCTTTTTTTTTTGTTTGTTTGTTTGTTTTTCCTCCCCCCCGAAAAAGACGGAACTGAAATATGTCTTCATGGGAACCAGATAAAATATGTAC